TCTTTTTTTTTTTTTTTCGATAAGAATGGTAACTATTCCTCGATCTTGATTGGAACGAGGAACGATTTCAGAATTATAGGCAGAGGGTTTCGTTCGTCTTGGATCGGCCGGACCATAACACATAACGTAACGCACTATAATTTAAACGAAACAATTTAAACGAGGGATGATGGTAACCACACGCTCCACAGAGACAAAGGTGAAAAAAAGAATCGAAGTAACGAAAGGAAATAACGCTGTTGTTTGTGAGATAAACATTTAACAACGCGCTTCGGATCTCAAGCGAATTTCCCTGTATCCGAATGCCCCAACGCATGCATAGTAGTCGGCTAGTGTATGTAATAAATAAAATTTCTGAACAAAACGATACTGCCTTGTTATCCATATTTTCTCACCTCGATGCGAGATTATCTCGTCTAAATATTTTAGATGCTGCACACTGGTATCGATGTGCAATTAATTAAAGGCGGGGACAATGATTCCTTTTGCGGTATTCGGAAAAACTTGGAGCAAGTTGCGTGGAAATAAAGGGTCGTGACAGTAAACTGCTTTCTGCTTTCGCTATATTAACGATGCGGCAAGACTTTGTTTCATTAAGGCCAACAATTACGTCTAATGATGCCCTTGGATTTTTCAGGGGACGCGTTGAACTGCACTCGATAATTCTCATTTAAAAAACGAATTATGGGCTTCGATGTATTGTGAAATTTTTTTCCTCCTCGCGGTAATGGCACCCGATATAGAAAGTCCTTTGACGCGAAAAAATAATTAAAAGTTTATTAATTATCGCGCAGAATTTAGAATTGCGCGATATAAAAATAAGTTAGCGGCCTAAATTTTTTAACGAATGTCCGAACATTGTTAATACGGTTAGAAATTTATAATATATATCGAATTTTTTTTTCTACCCTTCTTGTTTGTTATCTGTTTGATTCTCATTTTTTTCTTTTTTTTTTTTTTTTTTCTGTTTGATTCTCATTTTTTTCTTTTTTTTTTTTTTTTTATCATTTTCAATCTAGTTCCTTTTTGTCGCAATTTTACAAAGTAGTTAACGAAATAAAAAATATATATTTCGTCGTGGAAAAATAAATTTCTGATTAATTATCGTTAAATGTTTCATAAATAATAAAAATTTATAGAAGGAATTAGCTACGAAGCGTCCACATTCGATAACATGGCGACATCTATGAATGTACCGATTGCTTACGAAGGAAGTCAGCGTTTGTATTGTCTGCTAACTTCCTGTTGGAATTCGTGCAACTTGTTCTCCATCGATAACTTATCGAAGACTGGTATTTTTTGTATCGCTAGAAGATAATTAAAAAAAAAGAAAAAATAAGTATAGAAATTATCGTTTCTCCTTATTCTTTTTTTTTTTGTTCAAAATTTATTCAAAAATCGAAATCCATTCTTCGATTTCAACAAGAAAGAAAAAAATATCAAAATTTAGAAAAAGGCCACCGATGATTTGAATTTTACGTTTATTCGGTATATTTCTTTATATATTAGTACATGTGATATTAAGGACGCAGTAATATATTAACTGAACATTGATTCTTGCAGGGTTTTCGTCGCCATCCGCAAGAACTGAGACATCGATATTGAATATTTACAAAAATACAAAAGCTTACAAAACATCGACTACTATACAATGTACTCTTTTTTTATCTAAATTTTCTCTCTCTCTCTCTCTGTTTTTCTCTCTCTTTCTGGTCTACACATCGAAAACTAACACGGATTCCATCAACGACTTGGCAATTATTAACTCGAGCCCCTAAATAATCTAATCGATGCTTAGGTCCTTTCCTATAAAATACAAAAATCAGACTTGTAAGTTTCGCGGGGCTGAAATATTAGAAATTGCGCCCCAAAAGCCCCTATTGGTATGTTTCTTGGTATACAAAAAGCGTGTCGTTTCTCAAAAAGGATTTAAATAGAATTCCAATAAGAAATTCGTCGAAAATTCATTCGTTTAAGAAATTCTTTTATAGTCTTTCTCAAAATTGTAACAAGTCTATCGTTCTTAGGATCGCGTTGCGTTTTCTTATTGTTCGTTATTTCCTTCTCCTTGGTCCTGATGTTACTTCGTCGAAGTTTTGCGAAATCACTTGTCATCAAACGCGGACTACCTTAACGAATCTATTAATGACTATATACAGAAAATAATCGCGTGATAATTCTTGTATTGACTCGTAACGTAAAAAACGCTCTTTTAACAATGTACAAACTGTGTGCTCGCTCACTTGTTCGATTTCTCAAATTTTTACGCGATTTTGGTCAGTTTTAATTGACGTGTGCGATAATCGAAAATAAAATTTCCACCATCGATTTCGATCGAACG